CTTTCTGGATACATAAATCAGTTTTCTGTGATACTGAGTCGGCAAACTGGAGAGACGCTGCGTATTTTTGTCTGCTGATAATTTTGAGGGGTTGTGGAATGTCAATGGTATGCCTGGTGTCAATTAAATGCCGAGCTATTGTACTGTTTAGAGCCGTTGTGCCTTTTAGTCTCAAATTCTTTGGAACGTTATTCGAAATATGAACACGTACTCTTCTCCCTGTTCTTCCAGTGCATGTGCTTTGACACATACACTTAAATTAGTATATGCATTTGGAGGTACTGAGAAAATAGAACCTGTCGATTTTTTTTAGCGAGCAGTTCGTTTCGTAGAACGTCAGTTTTGCTGATGGATAAGCAACCTTAATTACGGCATTTATCCTGCGGTTAGTTATTCCAGTGATTTCATCTCCTTTGAAAATCAGATATAAGAAGCAGGTTCTCTTTTCTACTGTGTCGTACATAACACACGTTGGTTTTGACATACTTAGTGAATTTCTCTGGATATGCATTTTCACGTAGATAAGCCCTTCTTCCAGGCTTTACTTTGAGCAAAGTTTATGAAGGCGGTCAAAAAAGGGCTCATACAATCCCATTTTTGTGACTCATACAGAAGCTGTAGTAATTTAGGTGAACTCCACTCCATGTACTTTTGCGATGGATATATCTCTGTAGTGTGCCCTTTGAATTCAATATCTAGGATATGGGATATACCTCCTACTTCATGTCCCATAGTAAGATCTATATCATTATACTTTTTGTTGAAAAGATTGAATAGGTACATAGAATGCTTAGGATTGTTACAGACAAGAAATGTGTCACCAACATATCTACAAGTGTGGTTCCTTCGATTGCGTACATCTGTTCCAGGTTCCCCATAAATATATCAGCCAGAATTGGACCCAGGAAATTACCCATGGCTACTCCATCAATTTAACTCCGCCTGGAGTCCCTCCGGGGGCTACTGCCGGTCCCAAGCCCGAATAAAGGAGGAGAGTTGGGCATGGAGTTAGCGTCCCCATCCCGTAGAAAACTAACTCGCTAAAAAATCGCTAACCAGAAAAAATTATTCAAACCTTTTAAACTCTGGCCTGGGAGTCAGAAGGTCTTCATTTAGAAGAATTATTACGCATCATGGTGAAAGCCGAATTCCTTCGGAAGTTACGAGGCCGATGCCCCTTCTGACAACCAGAGCGAGCATTTATTTAGGTACATGGAATGTTCGTACAATGTGGGACACCGGAAGAGCCTTCCAAATTGCTGCAGAAATGAGAAGATACAACCTAGAGGTACTTGCGATCAGTGAAACACATTGGACACAAGTTGGACAACAACGACTAACTACAGGAGAGCTCCTGTTATACTCCGGCCATGAAGAAGAAAATGCACCACATACACAAGGAGTTGCATTGATGCTGTCCAAACAAGCACAAAATGCGCTTATAGGATGGGAATCTCATGGACCAAGGATCATCAAAGCCTCGTTCAAAACAAAGAAAGAGGGCATTTCAATGAACATCATCCAATGCTATGCGCCTACCAACGACTACAATGAAGACGCTAAAGATCAATTCTACAATAGGCTGCAGTCAATCGTCGAGAAGTGCCCAACAAAGGACCTGACCATTCTGATGGGAGATTTCAATGCCAAGGTTGGAACGGACAACACTGGATATGAAAACATCATGGGACGACACGGACTGGGAGAAAGAAACGAAAATGGTGAGAGATTTGGAAATCTATGTGCCTTCAATAAGCTGGTCATAGGCGGCACCATATTCCCACATAAACGCATACACAAAACCACATGGACTTCACCGGATCACACTACAAAAAACTAAATCGACCATATTTGCATCAACAAAACGTTCAGGAGGACCATAGAGGACGTGAGAACCAAGAGAGGAGCTGATATAGCCTCAGATCATAACTTGTTGGTCGCCAAGATGAAATTGAAACTCAAGAAGCACTGGACAACGGGGCGGACAATATCACAAAAGTTCAATACGGCCTTTCTTCAGGATACTAACAAACTCAACAAATTCAAGATAGTCCTCAGCAACAAGTTCCAGGCCTTTCATGATCTACTTAATGGAGAAGGAACTACTGTGGAGAGCAACTGGAAGCGGATCAAAGAGGCAATCACTTCAACATGTCATGAGGTCCTGGGTCACATGAAGCACCATCACAAGGAATGGATCACTGTTGATACACTGGATAAGATTCGAGAAAGAAGGAACAAGAAGGCAGCAATCAATACCAGTCGAACAAGAGCAGAAAAAGCCAAGGCACAAGCTGAATACACAGAATTAAACAAGCAAGTGAAGAGGAGCATCAGAACCGACAAACGTAAATATGTGGAAGATCTAGCAATGACGGCGGAAAAGGCTGCAAGAGAAGGAAACATGAGACAACTGTATGACATAACAAAGAAACTCTCTGGAAATCACCGCAAACCAGAACGACCAGTGAAAAGCAAGGAAGGCGAGGTAATCACCAACATTGAAGAGCAACGAAACAGGCGGGTAGAACACTTCAAAGAACTCTTGAATAGACCAGCCCCACTGAACCCACCCAATATCGAAGTAGCACTCACGGACCTCCCAATCAATGTTGGCCCACCAACAATTGAAGAAATCAGCATGACCATCAGACAAATCAAGAGTGGCAAAGCAGCAGGACCGGACAACATCCCAGCAAAGGCACTAGAAGCAGACGTAGCGGCAACTACAAGGATACTCCACATTCTCTTCAATAAGATTTGGGATGAGGAACAAGTACCAACAGACTGGAAAGAAGGACTTCTGATCAAAATACTGAAGAAAGGCGATCTCAGCAAGTGTGATAACTACAGGGGCATCACTCTTCTCTCAATACCGGGAAAAGTCTTCAACAGGGTATTGTTAAACAGGATGAAGGACTCCGTAGACGCCCAACTTCGTGATCGACAGGCAAGATTGAGTAAGGATAAATCGTGTACAGACCAAATCGCAACTCTACGGGTCATTGTGGAACAATCAATTGAATAGAATTCATCACTCTACATCAACTTCATTGACTACAAAAAGGCATTTGATAGCGTGGACAGAACAACACTATGGAAACTTCTTCGACACTACGGCGTGCCTCAGAAGATAGTCAATATCATACAGAACTCATATGATGGATTACATTGCAAAATTGTGCATGGAGGACAGTTGACAAAGTCGTTCGAAGTGAAGACCGGTGTTAGGCAAGGTTGCTTACTCTCACCCTTTCTCTTTCTCCTGGTGATCGACTGGATCATGAAGACGTCAACGTCTGAAAGGAAGCGCGGGATACAATGGACATCTAAGATGCAGTTGGATGATCTAGACTTCGCAGACGATCTGGCCCTTCTATCCCAAACGCAACAACAAATGCAGGAGAAGACAAACAGTGTGGCAGCAGCCTCAGCAGCAATAGGTCTCAATATACACAAAGGGAAAAGCAGGATTCTCCGATACAACACAGAATGCACCAACCCAATCACAACTGACGGAGAAGATTTGGAAGATGTAAAAACATTCACATATCCGGGCAGCATCGTTGATGAACAGGATGGATCTGATGCAGATGTGAAGGCGCGGATTGGTTAAGCAAGAGCAGCATATTTACAACTGAGGAACATCTGGAACTCAAAGCAACTGTCAACCAACACCAAGGTCAGGATTTTCAATACAAATGTCAAGACAGTTCTACTGTATGGGGCAGAAACCTGGAGAACTACGAAAGCCATCATCCAGAAAATACAGGTGTTTATTAACAATTGTCTACGCAAAATACTTCAGATCCATTGGCCGGACACTATTAGCAACAACCAACTGTGGGAGAGAACAGACCAGATCCCAGCGGAGGAAGAAGCGCTGGAAGCGGATAGGACACACATTGAGGAAAGCACCCAACTGCGTCACAAGACGAGCCCTCACATGAAGTCCTGAAGGTCAAAAGAAAAGAGGAAGACCAAAGAACACATTACGCCGAGAAATGGAGATAGACATGAGAAAAATGAACAAGAATTGGATGGAACTAGAAAAGAAGGCCCAGGACAGAGTGGGTTGGAGAATGCTGGTCAGCGGCCTATGCTCCATTAGGAGTAACAGGCGTAAGTAAGTAACTCCATCAATTTGGCGGTACAACAGTTTTAGATTGAAATTGTATATTTTCGGTGCACATGAACAGAAGCTGTTTGAATTCATCGATTGGTAAAGGAGGGAGTTCAGGATATTCACATAATATTGGCAATTTCTTCCAAAAGAATTCTTGTGAAGATAAATGAGACATTGAACGACACCAATAAATTTATCGGAAGCATTTAGGCCATTAAGGCTTTGCGCAAATTCGAAACCAAATTGTAGGGAGAAAGTTTGTTGATGATTGGTTTCAAACACCTCGTCAGCCAGCGAGTGAGTTTACAGAAAGGTGACTTAGTCAATAGACTTAACATTGTCAAATTCTAGCACACGTATAGAGTACATAATATAAAATAACCTGTCAGTTATTTTTCGAACCGCGGATCTGCAGTTCACCATGAAAAGACTAGGATTTCTAGATAAACGAGTCTGTGGCATGTTTAAACTTAATTGTTTATTTACGAAAAAACGTTCACTTGGCAGTAAGTAGTGAACTCAATAATTGAGAAGCTAAAACTTTGCATATTATTGCAATCCTTAAGGTTTCTTTTCACATTAAATCATTTCTGTGCGCAAAGTTGTCTGCCGACTATAGACATTTTTAACAGTGTAGCTTAGCTTACTTAAAGAAATTGCAATTTTACAGTATATATTTCAGAAATTATTCCATATGTAGTTACAAATAACTAGAAAATTATTTTGATTGGGGGGGGAATCGACTAAATTATGACTATCATAAAAGTCAGATGATGTCTAACAGTGCGATCCACACTGAGCATTTCGACCCACTAAAGACTCATCAACTAGATGTGCCTGCATCCCAAATACTCTCAAACTTTTATGATAAAAGTCAATATTTATTATAGTTTACTCAGTTTTTTCTCTCATACAGATAATAACACTTTCAAAATGAGTATGATAAACAAACACCTAAGTATGTAAGACATCAGTAAGTATATATACGCATGTATTATCTAGAATTAATAGGCGGAAAAAACACCGAAAAACAAGGCAGAAAAGTCTAGAATATACATGGAATCCTGAAAAAGCCCTGAATTCATAAAAGACAATAATAGTAATGATAAACAATAATATCGATAATGATATGTTGGTTACATTCGTTTCAGTAACAAAAAGAATTCTAAGAAAAACCTAACAGGCTGTAAAAAAACTACCACATAAGAATATATGTATCTATATACGTACAGTTGAAGTAATAATATATGGTGCAATATGACATATTGAAAGAAAAAGACAAAATTTATTCACAGCTATTTCGAAACTGATATGACTTGTGCTGTTATTTTTTCTTGCTGTAAGTAAAAACAAATTCCAATTAAATAGGAATTGTTGATTGAAGTCGATAATATGTTCGACGGTGTTGACGACGACTTGAATTAACGACAATCCATATTGACATTAACATAGCCAGTAGATCGGATGTGATAAGCATAGCAAATACGACAGACCAACCATATGGAACTAGTAAACCAGTCAGAAGTGGACCTAACGCAGCACCTGTAATGCATAAATAAACATCACAAATAAAGTTGTCCCTTATCGATAAAAAAGATTTTTAAGAAAATCAATAATTGGATCCTGATTTTGTCTTTGGTACACTTTAACCTGGTGCATTACTAAACAAAATCGATAATGATTGGACAGTTCTGTAAATAAAAACATAACAAAGATAATACCATACATTGGACAGAATCATTCATCAAAGGAAATCGTGAGTTTTTAAAGGGAAATATATCTTAACCGTTGGATATTTTAAGAAAGAAACTGCACAAATATTTGTATAAAATGCATTATTTCACATAGTAACATTAAAACAATGTCTATTGTACTGCAGAAAGTCACATAGATACAAGGAGGCACCAAATACATGTGAGCCACACAGATCTCATTTGATGTGTGAGGGCTGTGATACTGTCCGGGTACCTAAATCGAAGCAGGCGGTTTTCTTAGGGAGCCACACCCGGAGCTTTCGACCTACAGCTCTGATCCATAAGGCAGTGGGGGCATCCTAAGGAGTTGCAGTCCCATGGTAGTCGGTGACCAACGATTGGTTCATACGCCATTTGTTCCCTCAGGGTACTGGAGCTCATGTGCACCATTGTTTTGGAATCAGGGTTTTCCAACTCCCCTAGATGGATTCTCTATATCCACCAACCCGGTTAAAGCGCCAGACATTCGCTTTTCGTCCTCTCAATTTCGTAAACAACACCGCCGCCACGAGAAGGTAGTGAGTAGGACTTCCCTGACAGAGGCTATATGCGCGTGGCCATGTGAGAGCATTTGGAGAGGGAGAGTTGACTCTCCCCATTCTCGGCCGTACCAGGGTATTTGGGGACAAGACTGTGTAGTAGTAAATGATAATTAAGATGAAACATTGAAATTTTAAATATTTTGGAACTCCCAACAATTTTTTTATTAATTCTCATATTTTAATAATTATATTTTCGATACCAAAAATTGAACAAACATACTACAATTTACAAAGTATTGATGCGCAATTCTCAGTAATCGTTTCTTATGTTACGACGACATTCCTTAAAACAAACTTCTCTTAATATCTATGGAATAAATGTTCCGTGTACACTTCTTTAATTTTAGAACTTAAAAATTTACCCGCGATGTCATGTAATGACGAGCTAAACAAAAGTATTTGAAAAAGTGATAGAAACAGCTTCTTAAGCTTCAGGAGAATCAAATCAATGTGTTGATATTAACAACTGACTGATTGATTTGCAAAATATGATGTGACAATTTGGTTGGTTTGAAGAAATATTGGAACGATCAAGTGGGGGGGGAATTAGGAACTTGCTCACAGGATGCATAACAGAACCATAGACCAAATTGTGTTTAAAAAAACAGAAATATTAGCCAATAAATTGAGTATATGATTAAATAATAAACAGTTTAAACTATTCATATTAATTTAAAAGTATCGAATAAACTACGAAATATTTAATTCGATAAAATGATTTATAAAGGATTTATACACTGAAGTGCAACAGAAGCAATGGCGTTGATCAATATATGAAGTGTCTGGTACTTTCAACTTACCCAATGATCCCATTCCATCAATAATAGATGTAATTGTAGCCAAAGCACGAGTTCGTCCTAGCAAGGCCGACTGAGTACCTAAGTCGGCAGATACAGCAGTTGTAACTAATGCATAAGGTCCGTTGATTGCAGAACCGCAACATGTAAGTAAAACTATAAACAAGATACCAAGAGTACGCTATCAGATAGAAAGACAAACGAACACAACGTAAGATTTGTGATAATTGTTTACCAAATCAAGTTACCTTTAACCACGGACAGTAAAGTAAAAAGAAAGATTCATTAAGACGAGTGGTGCTATCAAAATAAGATGAATTATACGCAAGAGAAGAGATTAATCTCCCAAGGCAGTTGATTTTTCAAAGACATTTAGTTATTTCAGTCTTAATGTGAAGTAGTCCAAACCAACAGAGGTCAACCACCTCACTAGAATTGAAGCATTTGCTTAGGAAAATGAAGTCTTTAACAACTTTGCTTCAGATTGATACACTGGTGTTGGATAAAAAAAGTTGACCAGGACATTTTATCAAAATTACCAATGATTTAAAAGAAACTGTGCTACACTACAACATAGAATTTCAGAATATTTGGAGAGTCCAGAAAATGGTTGGCTTGATAGGGATGGAAGTGCAAAGTGTAGTTAGTTTACCATAAATATGAGGCTGATAAGTACCCCTACAAGAAGTGTGTTATTCATGTTTGTAGGAGAAAGTTGACCCTATCTGCATGAAAAGAAACTGGTAGTATTAAGTAGTGCTAATTGTTATAACTTATGCTCCTGTCAATATATATAACGTAATGATAACGCAAATTGGAGAACAGTGGCTTATCGACCGGACCAATGACGCATTAACCCGCAAGAGCAGTTTAAAGTCCCTATCAGTACTTCTTCCTGCCTATCCATGCCTTTTGAGTCCAGAACACCAATCTCAGCCTCTGCGATATGAATCATTTATTTCAAGCATACTGGATTTCTTATACTAACCAAACAGACCACATTGTACCATAAAATAGAAAATGACATTTGTACAAGATCTAGCCAAAAATGGCTGTGAATGTGGGAGACTGTACTTAACAGACTGGGCAGATTTCAATAACGGTATATCGTATAATAAAATTCGATGGGTCAAAATAAAGCTCATAATAGGAGGAACATGAATATGCATAGTTTAGCTGCTTAACAATAATACAGTGAAAATATAATTATCCGATTGGTCAATAAATAGTTCGCAAGCGTTACCATTCATAACATTAATCACACGAGTAGACTTCTGATTAATTCACTTACGTAGACATATGCATGACCTATTACTTATTGCAATTGAGGTTAATTAATTTTTTTTAAGAACTAAACGATAGTGGGTTGACTTACTTAACGACATCGGCGAGTTCGCAGAAGTCATAGAACGATAAGCTAATAGCTGTAATGACAAAACGCGAAACTATAGGTCAGAAAATTTCAGTACATAATATAAAGATATGAAAATTCTGATTCAGTCAGTCATTCAGTCAGCTACAACGTAGGATCAGGCGCATATGTGCATCGGTCCAAGTTGCCATACCTCATTAACACAAGATGAAAACCGGATTCATAAAAGTAGTTAATTCAGAGGTGGTAATATATCAAAGAGAGATTCCATATAGGGACATAGTACAGGAAGAAAGATTTAGTACGTAGAAAGAAAGATATGAAGCGATTTTAATCTCATAGTTTAAAGGAAGACAAAGAGTGTATACACCGACGCCATTGTGATCGATTCTGAGTCATGCCACACAGTCTCCAACCATTGGTTACGACAGTCACGTGGACCCCAACCAAGTAGTCTGCATCTACCAACATGGCTCAGACTAGAATTTAGTGACTTCAAGCACTGATGCCACGTTTTAGTTTGGCAGCCCTTAACTTTCTTCCAACCATCCCCAACACCGGTTAGTATTGCACGTCGTGGTAATCGGTGTTCAGGCATACGTAACACATAACCCAACCATCTCGGTCGATAAAGATTTACGACCTCATCGACTGATTTACCATCATTCCCTAATACCCTGCGTCTAACCTCACTATTACTTACCCGGTGATCCCAGCAGACGCCAGCAATATTTCTAAGACATCTGTGGTCAAATACTAGTAGCTTACGGGTGTCTTCTACTCTTAGTGGCCATGTTTCGCTGCCGTAAAGTAAAACAGAACAGATTGCCGCGCAGTATACTCGTCTTTTTATTGATAGACGGTTATCTCGCCTTCGCCATAGGTGAGGCAAGTTGGCAAAAGCCAAACGAGCTTTTCCAATCCGTGCTGAGATTTCGTCAGACACCAACCCATTACTGCTGATCAGACTTCCAAGATAAGTGAAGTTGTCGACGCGTTCGACTACTTCACTGCCTATCTTTAGTTCAGGTGTTGACGCAGACCAGTCCTGAAGCAACAACTTGCATTTAGAGGGAGAGAAGCGCATTCCAAACATTCTGGCATTGTTGCTTAGTGCTACCAGAAGACTCTGCATTTTGACAGCGTCTTCACCAAACAGGACTATGTCATCTGCGTATTCTAAGTAGATAAGTGGACCTCCTGGATGGAGATCAATACCCGAGAATTCAGTCGATGAGAATGTTATTTCCATCAATATGTCTATGATGAAGTTAAACAAAAATGAGGAAAGTGAACAGCCTTGACGGACATCACTTGAGGTTGCAAAAGTAGATGACAGTTCGCCATAAGCTCTGACTCGATTAGTAGTGTTCGAGTAAAGAGCCTTCACAATGTTTATGTACTTCTCTGGTACGCCTTTCAATGACAGACACTGCCACAGAATCTCGCGGTCTACCGAGTCAAATGCTGCTTTTAAGTCGAGGAAGACCACCATTGTCGGACGTCGATAAGTATGCCTGTGTTCTAGAATTTGACGAATGGTGAATATGTGGTCGATGCAACCACGACCAGGTCTGAAGCCAGCTTGGTTCTCTCGTGTTTGCAGTTCACGAGTCTTAGTTAGGCGTCCGATAATTATCGAGGCTAGTATTTTAGATAATATATTAGTTAAACTAATCCCTCTATGGTTGTCACAGGATGATTTTGACCCTTTCTTATATATTGGGACGATAAGTGATTGCGACCAGTCAGATGGAGTAACGTCTAACTCCCAGATATTAGCTAAAATATTAGTCAACCTAATCGCTAAAATTAGACCACCATCCTTAAAGACCTCTGGAGCCAATCCATCTGGACCAGCTGCCTTTCATCGTTTCAGATTAACTATAGCCTTTTGGACTTCTGCTAGAGTTGGGGGACCTACTTCAATGTTCCATTCACACTGTCTGGGAATGGAGGTTAGTTGTAGAGTAGCTGAAGGCCAGTTGAACTGTTCTCTGAAATGTTCCGCCCATCGTTCTAAACGTCTGGACTGGGAGCAGATAAGTGTCGTCTTTTTCCGAAATTGTCTGACTTACACTTGATTTATTAATTCCAGTTTCTTTTATTAGTCTGCAGAGCTGTCTTGTGTTTCCTATAGCCGACGCCTTTTCTATCTCCTTTGCTTCCGTTGCCCACCACTGCTCACGGTCGTTTCTTAGACTTTTGCTTAACCTAGATCTAATTTGTTTTCGCTCTTCATCGTGTTCAGAGGCTGATGGGATGAGTTTACGAGGATCCATCAATGCAATAGACTTAGAAGAAATCAATTGGTGTTTTGTAATACGTTGGTTTAAATCACTAAAAGATGTCACTGCTATTTCCACAGCTGATTGTATATTTTTACAAGCAACATCTGGATCAGTCTCGTTTTCAGAACTACCTAAGTGTGACCTCAGTTGTTTCTGGAACCTACTTTTGGTTTTCTTGTCACTCAATTTAGTTCTAATGGGTCTTTTTAATGTGGCTTTTCTGCGTCCAGTGAGGCACAAGCAGAGGCGTGCCCGTATAAGGGCATGGTCGGAGTCCAAGCAGGTACTCCAGAATGAGCGGCAATCTTCTATAGACCCTCTCTAACGATGACTGATGGCAATATGGTCTATTTGAATCCATCGTTGGTTTGGTGTAGGGGGTCGCCATTTTAGACGATGTCTCTCTTTATGCTTAAAATTTGTCTGGGTACAGTTGCAACAGACGACCACTATTATCTGTTCGCTGAGCCGGAATACCAAAATGCCCACATAAATGTCTTTCTGTTTGGTTTAAACTACCTATCTGGGCATTAAAGTCACCCCCTACGAGTAGTATGTCTGAACGTTTAGCTTTCTGTAAAATTCATCTTTCCTTTCATCTGAGCTGCAGTCAGTGGGAGCGTAGGCAGAAACGACAAAAAGGCAACGACGTGTGTCTCTATCCTCCCGAGTTCTTACGGAGCCGTTTAACCGAACAGCATATAAACAACTGTTGACGGGGATCCACTCTAACAGTGCTTGTTCCGCCCTCGTGCTTAGTGCTATGCCCATACCAACCAGTCCACGAGAACTGGCCTTCGGGTCACCAGATACACAGAGGGTGTATCTCGTTGGCTCTCCGTTTTGCCGAAGTGAGGTCAAGTGAATGACCACACTGGGATCCTGTATGCGTGTTTTGGAGACACAGCATACATCAATGGTACGAGATTCTAGGGTTCTAGCCAAGGAAGCCTGCTGACAGATTTGGTAATCAACTAACCTATATATTTTACTTGAACAAACAGTTTAAAAATAAATTCATATAATGTAAATACACGGATGACAAGAAATAATGAGGTCAACTTAAATAGATTATAAATGCATTCTTCAGACTAAAGAAATAATACATTAGGTATGCGTTTAGACAACTCTTCTAGAAAAATAAGATCGTTAACAATTTAAACTTACCAAAGGTGCCGCACAAGCTAGCATAACAAGACAAGCAAGTGCACGTTTTTTTATTGTTTTTTCATCTTCGTTGAGATTTTGTCCATTTGACTAGAACAAACAAAAATACAGAACACCCATCAACATAAATATCAATCGATCAAAACTTTATACACGGAACAATATACTCGGGGATAACCAATTATAACTCCGAGTTTTGATTCATGTATATCCCTTTATTTATTTAAACACACAAACATTGGTACAAGGAGGTACCATGTATATATGCACCACACTTCGTTATTCGATTTGAGGACTGGAATACTGCACGGGCACCCAAATGGAAGCAGGGGGTTTTCTCAGGGCACCACACCCCGAGCCTTTGATCTAGAGGTCTAATCCATAAGGCAGTGGAGCAACTTTGGGAGATGCAGTCCCACGGTAGCCGATGACGAATAATAGATTCGTATGCCATTTGTTACCTCAGGATTCTGGAGCCCATGAGCACTGTACCAAACCAATGAAGTGTCAACCAGTACGAGCAGCCTATGATCACATTCGAGTTCTTCTGGTCCTCTGAGATAGTAGCTTCTCGCCTAACCCTACCGGTTTAGCTCAGAACACCGATACAAGCCTCTACCATACGAATCATGTATTCCAGACATATGCAGTTTATATCCAAGCAAATCAGGCTACAACACACTATAAAGTAGAAAATAACAATCATACAAGATCACAAGGGGCAATCACTAAGTAAATAAGTAAGTAAGTAAGTAAGTAAGTAAGTAAGTAAGTAAGTAAGTAAGTAAGTAAGTAAGTAAGTAAGTAAGTAAGTAAGTAAGTAAGTAAGTAAGTAAGTAAGTAAGTAAGTAAGTAAGTAAGTAAGTAAGTAAGTAAGTAAGTAAGTAAGTAAGTAAGTAAGTAAGTAAGTAAGTAAGTAAGTAAGTAAGTAAGTAAGTAAGTAAGTAAGTAAGTAAGTAAGTAAGTAAGTAAGTAAGTAAGTAAGTAAGTAAGTAAGTAAGTAAGTAAGTAAGTAAGTAAGTAAGTAAGTAAGTAAGTAAGTAAGTAAGTAAGTAAGTAAGTAAGTAAGTAAGTAAGTAAGTAAGTAAGTAAGTAAGTAAGTAAGTAAGTAAGTAAGTAAGTAAGTAAGTAAGTAAGTAAGTAAGTAAGTAAGTAAGTAAGTAAGTAAGTAAGTAAGTAAGTAAGTAAGTAAGTAAGTAAGTAAGTAAGTAAGTAAGTAAGTAAGTAAGTAAGTAAGTAAGTAAGTAAGTAAGTAAGTAAGTAAGTAAGTAAGTAAGTAAGTAAGTAAGTAAGTAAGTAAGTAAGTAAGTAAGTAAGTAAGTAAGTAAGTAAGTAAGTAAGTAAGTAAGTAAGTAAGTAAGTAAGTAAGTAAGTAAGTAAGTAAGTAAGTAAGTAAGTAAGTAAGTAAGTAAGTAAGTAAGTAAGTAAGTAAGTAAGTAAGTAAGTAAGTAAGTAAGTAAGTAAGTAAGTAAGTAAGTAAGTAAGTAAGTAAGTAAGTAAGTAAGTAAGTAAGTAAGTAAGTAAGTAAGTAAGTAAGTAAGTAAGTAAGTAAGTAAGTAAGTAAGTAAGTAAGTAAAGGCCAATAGGTCAAATGGATGATTATAATAAAAGGAATACGAATATGCATATAATATAGTTACAAAATGGTTATGCAATAAGATATATATAGTAACAGTCCATAAATAGATTACAGTAGTTACCATTCACTTATTCTTCGTTCGGATATAAGTTACTACATGACATAATCCTTCACTTGAAGCGAACACCATTGATAAGAAAACAAATCAGGAATGACCAACAAAACTCGTATTCTAATCTACCAGTTAGCAAGCAAACGCTAGTTCAACGGTTCCTTTAAGTGTTTAGTTCATTATTTTTAATGTCTGGTTTGAGAATAGATCATAGATTTACTTCTCTTCGTAACAGCGTAATTCACTGTCTATATTTTTTGATCATAGCATATTCAGTAAATCCAAACAACTTTCTAACGTTACCCAACCAGCATCATTACTGTTTTGTCTGTTGTTTTCATTATCTGTTACTCTTCACTATAAAAACCTTTTGTTCTGCATTTGTCTCCACTCTATCGTTTTTGGAGTTTGACAGAGAGATTTACTAAGGACAATACAATAAACATACTTGAATGGAGTCCAATGTCTGGAAAAACTCATATGAAAGTTAATAATTAATTTTAACATAATATGTAGGTTTTTATTTCTAATCGTCGAATGGACAGAAATAAAACTTACCTGACTATCACTAAACCATCCTATCAATACACCACCGATTATGCCACCAACATCGAACAACACAGAAAGTTTAGCAGCCTGTTCAGCTGACACATGTTCAACAATGGTTAAGTAGTTTGGTAACCAATAAAGAAATGTATATGAGACAAGTTTCGTAAAGAATAATAAGAGTGAGTAGGTAAACACACTCTGCAAAATAAACAGAAAAACAGGAATGATAAGGAGAAAATTTCATAGAATAATTAACGAATATATATATTAATGAATTACTGTATATAAAGACTTTGTGGAGATAGTTGAATTTTGGTGGAGTTTCGTTTTCTGGATGATTTGATTATGGAGCTTTAATTGTTCTTCCTAATAAAATCATCAGCACGAACTTCAAATAGAAGTGAAGTAATCGAATTTCTCCACATGACTCACAACTTGTTCCGTCAACCTCGATCTTTATTGGTCACTGTTGACCTTTAATCCGTCGCGAACTGTCTCTTTATTGTGATTTTACAAACCATCGATCTGATTCTTAGTCCTAAGTTTGTCAGAAAAGCAATGAACGCTCCACAATCAAACAAAACTTCACTAACATCCAGCTCAGCTACAAATGTTCTACGCAAGATAAATGAATTTTATAATGAGTAGAAATTGTTATCTTGTATGGTATCCGAGTCTGTTACTGATATACAAGCTTCCCATACGCGAGTTCATCTAGTTACTTGACTAAAAACAACCAAGACTGAGTAGGAAGCCTTTGTTGGCTAACCAAATAGACAATATATGTACATTCATAAATAAATATACATCTTCATCCGTCTGAAAATGAAGCCATATTTCAACCTATAGAAAGGGACCTTTATCATTTATCACTTATCAGTTGGCCTGTATGATTTCCTACCCAGTGACTCCTGGTTTTTCAGAAATTAAACCTTCACTGTGAAAACAACTAAAGCATATACTAGGAAATAATAAGGAAAACATGATGCATCAATAGGTTAGACAAAATAACGAGATTCGGAAATATACGTCTTTAGAGTCGTATAGCCGGATTAAAAATACATTAAGACAAACTTACTGGTAATAGAAGAGCTTCAATGAAATTAATTGGTCGAGTGGCCTCGATATCCGATATTAAAGGCCTCAAACCATCTTTGTCTGACCTTTCGCGGTCGATGTTTCCCTGTAGAGAAATAGGACAACAATAACACTATCAGGTAGATACAAAGTAGCGCACAAAAATGGTTAGCTATTACTTCATAAATCCAAGTGACGTTCAAATTTACAAACATAATTTGTATTCAGAAATGTAGTTGGTTTGGTTTGGTTTTAGTGATAAGGTTAAGTAACTGGAGTTCCAATCCAATCGGTTTGAATCAAGAAGCTTATTTATAAGTCCAAAAACAACAGAGTCACTCTCATGTAACGATTAAAAATTTATTTTATTTCAGTCCTGATTCATTTATAAGTTTTCTTATTCATCCAACTGAACTGATGTATGACATAAATCAACTTGAAGGCAGAGTTCAATAAACTTTTTGAAGCCTTTTATTCTGACTCCGAAAAGATCGTATGTTATCGAAATATACATCCCCGCTATCCTCGTACATAATTATCGACTTAATTCACGTTAGAGAATAACAGAATAAGTAAGGTACGAGGATGAATTTTGAATACGTGTATTTCGTACACTTGTTGATCAGAATAGACATTCAGAATGAAAAGCGAAGCAGAGAAGACGAAAGAACCAACTCGGTTTGTTGAAGCGTGACTCGATATTTCAAGTCAGACAAAAATAAGCTACAGACACGTAGTTATTAGAGGTAAGCAATCAACAAACGCTCATATAAGAACAGTCAAGGTTAGTAAGTAATTAACAGTCAAAATGTGACTCCAAAATAATGAATAAACTGGTCTGTCCGGAAGCTAGAATAACCCCTGTAGGCTTGGCATAGTAATAGACTCTACAAGTTATTGTCTTACACACATTTGATCGAAATAATTTCCGCTCACGAGTTAAATTGAAGTTACGCGAACTATTTGGACAGTTACTATCATTGTGAAGTAATTAACAAATCTCTCTTTTGTTTCATAACAACAGGGTAATGTAATGGTCTGTATTATGTAAAATTAGTAGAAATACTACCTACAATTTTTTTGTTTTATCGGCTGATAAACTTAATGTTGTAATGCCTTTCATGTAATTTTTCAGAATCCCTAGATTAAGCAATAGTAATACCATTCATGAAACTTGGTTGGGATAGTAGGAGTCCGGGTGGTAACACTGTCCACTATACAAACCGTGCAGTTCAAAATCGAGGGAATAAATCTGCTGTATGTAAATGAGTTACCCGTAAATGAACGTTAATTATATCACAGTAACTTCCACTGTCTCTATTCAGCTAAAGTAATGAAAAAAATAGATAAAGATTCTTCATTATGATCATATATAATTCAACACGAAGAAGCTGGAGCAAACGGAGCTACAAAAGAAAACATAAATTGATCCAATCTTATGAACTCAGAGTTAATTTAGACTTGTAATCGGTATGGAAAATCGTAAAAGTAATCGATGCTCTAAGTGGAAGAGTGCTTCATGAGTACAGCACATGGAAAATAACCCACAGAGGTGGAATTGGTTTTTTACATGCCACATAAAATGTTGCTACTCGTTAATCATGTTCAAATAAAGTATTTTGTTGTGAACCCCAAAACCACCACATTAAACAATTTCTACTTTTAAGAATGATTATATTAATTGATAAATAAACTACAAAAGCTTATAAAGTGGAGAGTGAAGCATGTACTAACTAGACTATATTACTTATATCCTCCAAGAAACAGACAGTAATTAAAACTACTGACTGATGACAAGTAACTAACAGACATCATACTGGTATTATCAATAAAATCAGTGGACCGAAATAAACGGTTGGCATATATGACATAAATGGGTCTTTGAATAGTCAGCTTTATGATGAGTTGGCAATTGTGTATACGACTCATTTAAGCTGTGATAAATAGTCAATTCATATAGGATGGTTTATACTTTGTTTCTATAAGGATTATTTATCAAATTACGTTTAGTAAAAGCTTACGGTTGCATTCGAATAGCGCGATTGGAAAAAATAAGGAATAACGGACATTCATAACAGTATTCGGAAGTCAACACGGATCTCAAGTTCACGTAGTGAATGTAATAATGAACGATGCATTTTGAAGACTACTTGTTAATATATACATACAATCAAAGCTTTTGTCTGTATAACATTTTATTCCTACTGATGCCAGTGTTTATTTCTAAAACGAATTAACTTTCGCAAGTTACTTCACAATAAGCTGTAAAAATCTATGAACGAATAGATAATTACCCCATATATGCTTCCTGACATTGGAATTTGAGTACCTGTTTTTTCGGAACTAGCCGAGTTATAGATCATGTTAGGATGCTCTATAACTGTCAGGTAGACAACCAACGCCCCAACCATCATAATAAGACCTGGGAGATAAAAAGAAGCCCCCCAATTTGTTTCAACATAGATTCCGGCAATGACGGAACCTATGATATTTCCTAAACTTGTATGAGAATTCCAAAGACCCATAATAAGTCCCCGTCTATACGAAAACAGGAAAAACACAAATGTGAACGTTAATAAAAAGGAAAGAAAAGCTTGTCTATAACAAACTGCATTCCACAAACTCAGTTTACTGAGTTCAAATTGTTACATAATAAATTGAACTTACCATGTGCTCGCTAGTGACTGGCTTCAAGATTTTCTGGAGTTCTAGTGAGAAGCCGTGACCAGTGGAGTTCAACCGTGTCTGTTGTGAGACCGTTACTCACTGAAGACAATAGTGGACGGTCGCGCAATATCGTGGATTGGTTGAACTTAGACATTAACACCGTTGGATGCCGGCTCAGTGGTCTAAAGATTAAACGTCCGCTCGCGAGACCGAAGTTCTTGGGTTCGAGTTCCTTTGGTGCGGGATCATTGATGCATTGCTGAGGAGTGGTCTAACATTGATCCATTCATGATATCAATCTAAATTGAAGTTACTTTGCAAGAAAGTGAACTTGACTTTTGTAGGATTTAAACGGAGTTTACAATCGGGAGGGTATATTAATCACTAATTGCACTACAAACGATTTTTTAATGTTTTAATTGGAAATAAAAATACAATGAATCGGCTGATTGAATCTGATGTAACTTTTTTTCAAAAGGGATCACTATTCCACTCTCATCTATTAGTAGTGATAAGGACCGAACCATTTTTTATCGACAGAGGAAATTCTCTGCTAGTAACCATACGCAAATGAACTTGTGGTAAATGTAAACATTATATATATAATCAGTATTAAACGTGAAACTTTGTTGGAAACCTGCTTTTGCCCCACCAATTTCCCACCAGAGTAACAACAGCCGGCCATCCAGAAGCTTGAACAAAACCAGAAAACACCTGGAAGTGACAATTAAACATTTTTTACCTGTATAAAGACGAAGTATGAGTAGTAGTGAATTTCAAAGTATGAAGCCAGTCCAAGTGCAAAAGTTGAAACTCCACTAAGAAACATTCCGATAGATAAGAAGTATCTTAAATTGACTCTTTCTGCAAGAAAGCCACTATAAAGTAGTTTAATATCTTTTAGACTCACCTTAGAATCATTGAAACTGCATAAACAAACAAATAAATATATTCAAGGCCACCCAGTAACTGACTCCAATTGTCAGAATCTAAATACAGCCGTCAACCATACGAAAAAAAACTACCAAACGGTTTCCAGCCGTCAGAAGTGAAACCAACAGTTCTTAGTTGTCCATTTACGCCGGAACGATGAAGAACCGTCTTAACAATGCTAAGGGGTTTTCGTGAGGCATGGTAAAGTGTATAGCAAAAGTAAGTAAGCAGGAGAATGTATATTGCCAGCCTGTCGGTAATATTGAACAAACAAAGAATACCATACCTTCGGAAGTCATTTCGTAATACCGACGTGTGGAGAAGTCTATAACAAGGAGGTAAAGATCGTTCCATTAAAACCAACTAAAAAGCGCCGGACCGCTTGAATAGTCTATACGTCAGAAAATTTTCTTATACCTTAAGCTGTTGTTAGCGAATACACAGAGTGTAAGCTGAAAATTAACTCAGGAATCTAAAGGACAGAAAACAAACCGAAAACTCGTTAAGCATATACAATACATTTACATGTGACAATAGTTTACATTGTTATAGAAACGTATTCGGGTTTACACGTTTTTACTGAAACAAATCGCCTCATTGACTCCAATTTCTGAAATTTATTTTCATTTGTGTTATTGGATTCGTCTAGCCTACATAAAACTAAGTAATAGCGGTATATCTTACCAGAATTGCAATACCAAATAAACAAGTGTTACATTATTTTTCAGAGATAGGGTTCTCTGTACAACTGACTTTAATTAACTTCGTGAGGCTAACTGGATGTTGAGGGCTTTATATTGGATTTGGAGAACAGGTCACATTGAGAAGACAGGGCAATTGACAAAACGGTACCAGATTTATATGATTGGAAATTATATTTTGAAGTGACAACAGCTCTGACAATAAACATAAACGTTTATTGAAATGGATCTAAGTCACACCTTTTTCGGTGGCAAGTACCTTTTATAATAATAGACCTATATGATTTTGAAGCAAGGATTTGTTGTTTAGGAGGCTGATTTCGGCGAGACCAAGCTCTTAAACTTGGGGAATAAAAATAAAATGTTATTAAAAGGGATGTATGACAATTTACAAAAGCGAAAAGAATCCAACTTTATTGGATGTAAATACTATCTGCATTATATTACATTAGTCCGCAAATATAATCTTTGGTAGATCTTAAAACAAGGACTTGAGCTTCAGATAGTTTTGAGTTGAAATGAAGTCCATTAACTAAAATGTAATGAGATTTTTGGTGGGATCACAATTTATGGAAGACCTTTAAGCAATGTCAAAACGACTTTGGAATGTCCAACTACTTGGTTTAAATAAGGGTTATAGATAAGTTTGAGGAGTTAGGATTAAGATTTACAGTTGACCGCTTAAGTTAGGGATTAGATCTAATGTTTTCATCACGAACCAATATAAGCTATAATGCCAAAATGGTTCTTAACAAAATGAGTGACTGAATTTCGCGTCAAATTCAAATACTTGCTATCTAATTGGTTCGTTCATAAATAAGAGATTCCCCAAATTTTTTCCTAGGTTATGATATTCCAAACACATAAACAATGCTGGGAAACGCTCTAGTCATCAATTTTTAGTTTAAAAACTATACTGCAGCTAAGGATGCATATAAATACGAAATTATCATACGAGAAATGGCTATTTCAGAGCTTTCAGTATTTTTTGAGAAGCTATTTTTACACATTTAAATTGACAGGAAATTATGCGTTCTGCCACCACCGCTTTAGCAAGGACTTTTCAGTATTAGGAATAAGGGTATTCCCAAAGGCCTTATTGAAGTGTCTTTATGAGGGATAACTAATAAAACCTGACCCTAATGGAAGAACATGGTTAAAAGATGCTGTGGTCATAAGACATTTTAAGGCTTGACTTGCAATAGGTCATGGAAATTTTTACACAAGCAAGGCGGGTGAGGCTAGAATTTATGGACGAACCTTTAGCGACGTTAGAGTAACCTTGATAGGGTCAACTTAATAACTAGGATCAAATGAGGATTATAAAACAGTGTGACGAATTAGAATTAGGATTTACGGTTGGTGGTAATGATGATGAACTCTCCATTTATGGAAAATATTCTTATGGTTAGGGTTAAGAATTATATTTAGGGTTTTCACACGGACTGACAGCTATAATGTCAAAACTCTATTTAACCAAATAGATGGGTGAGTTTTGCGCCAAAATTCGAGACCTGCTATCTTATACCTGATTGGTCCGTTCATAAACTAGGCTTGCCGCAAGATAAGACATTACTACCCAAATCATAATTGAAGATGCGAAATGCCAGTATAAGGTCACCTCGCGTCCTATGATACGACAAGGGGAAAAGGTTTGGACGCTCATTGTAAGGGAGTTTAGAAAGACCCTATACTACATTTGTATGAGCATACTCTACATAGGATTAACTGCAAAGCCCCAACTTCGAGCCCATCCAACTAATTTATGTAAGTCAGCTTGGAGATCAAAATGATCAACCTCACTTCTTATTGTTCTCCAGATTCTCACGTCATCCGCAAACAATAATGTCGACGACCTAAGCAACAGCGGTAATTTATTAACGTAGAGAAGGAAAAGCGGAGGGCCTAAGATATTGCCTTGGATTCACCACTTTTGACCGGCTTCCAATCAGACAGCGTTCCATTGATCCTCACTCTCTGCGGTCGCATAAGAAGTTTCCTACCCATTCCTGTAAAGCACCTGTTATTCCGAAGCCTAAGAGCTTTCGCATAAGACCTAAGTGTGAAAACTTGTCAAATGCTTTGCTAAAATCTATGAATAACAAGTCAAATATGAAGCAGATATGCTAGAAAGAGTCCAACGACGAGCTACTAAGATGGTACAAGGTCTAGCTGGCCTATCTTATGAAGACAGACTGAGACACCTTAACTTATTTCCGTTATCTTACCGTAGAGTACGGGGTGATCTAATATTGGCTTATCGTATACTGAACGATGACCTTGGTATTAACATGTCTTATCTTTTGCTTCCGTCTAGAACCGATCATTTGAGAGGACATTCGAAGAAAGTTCAAAAACCGAGATCAAACCGTTTACGTCTGGAGTTCCGTTTCTCGCACCGAGTAGTGAATTACTGGAATTCCCTACCGGAACACGTAATATCAGCACCGTCTGTTAATATATTCAAAATGAGATTGGACCTCCACAGTATTACAAACTGCAAGGATTCACATAGGTCGACAGACCTCCTATCCTTATTACTGAAGACTGAACAGACAGATCGATATCTAGGGCTGTTATCCAATCCTCTATCAAGAAGAAACACCTAACAAAAAAGGAGACTTTCTCATGCCAAAGAAACCTGATAAAATGAACGTAAATAATAATTGACAGTGCAGTATTATAATTGTTACGCAGAGCAGAATAATAATTGTTTTGATCATAACACATTTGCCCAGTCTATGTGAAAAGGACGGAAGAAAAGAGGTAATATGGCATTCAATGCAAGCATTTTGAATCTAAGAAACCATACACTTATTTGTGAGTAAAGTGTCAGGTCGAGTATTTCATTATTAAATGCATCAGTTTTTGTTAATTAACTAGATTCGAATGGTGAAACATCACAGTGAACATACAAAATGCACTGAAACTTACAAATGAAACTAAGGTATGGTAACTATCAATAGAAAATTCGTGGTATCAAGACAATCTTATTATAAGAAATAATTGATGTAAACAGCCTCACGAGACTTCAAACTTACGGACGACCTGTATACGTTCAAATGGCCTTGACAGTTTGACCTTCAAACATTCCATTGACCATGATGAGAAGTAATCTCTTATTATTTCTTTTTTATTTCACATAGAAGTTATACTTCCAATTTTCCCTGGTTGCGTGTCAAATTTGGACGTATTTAGCTGAGGTTAACCGTCTTCAATTACTTCCTACCCTGATGTTAGAAACGATGTGATCAGACGATTAAGGTATTTTCTCACTATAAAGTCTAACAAGAAAATATAAGTGTAGTTCTTGTAAGTATTTAAAGCTTTAATTGATGTCAACAGGCTGAGTTAGTCGTTCTGGTTTACTTTTTGATTCTTAGAGACTTTGTGTGACTCTCCAGTATCTACAAGAGGCTTCCTGCCGAAACTATGTCTTCTAACATAAAATAAGCTATTCAAAGGTCGGTATCCGTGGAGGGGTTATTTGTTCCTTAGTGTTTGTTCGTGCTGAACTCATGGTTGATCGCGTCTGGCTAATTCAGTATGAAATTCTCACCAATTTCAGTAAAACTGAACGATATACCTATAATTCGGCTTTTGCAGCCGTGGTAACTTCGTTTTCTGTTATCTACCTCCAACTTGGGTCTTTTGATGTTCTCGATGTGTTCCGTTGAGGTCAGGTCTACTGATAATTCTAAAACTGGTGCGTGGTATACTGTATGCTTTCCAAAGGGAGACACCTCCATAATCATACTTTCAATAGGTGCATAAGTGTCTAGGTTTTGTAGTTAGGATTAGGAATGTTATCTATCACATTATGTCTTTTCGTGAACCATTCTTTAAATCATTTAACTATAAGAAAGGTAAGGGACTCATTATCTCCCATCGAATTGTTGTATTTGTTTGAAACGTAAGGAGACATGAAAACGAAGTTTAAAAGTTTCTTTGCTACTGTTTTAATTTTAAGATCATGACTGTGGAAAAGAAGTGGTAACCAACTCATGTAAACTAAAAATAAGGGAGATGAATATAAATTTAAGAAATAAGAACAGTGCGATTACTTTTAGATTGGAAAGAAAGGTTGTCATCAAGATTATCATCACCAGAGGAACTTTGATAAGTTGGAGTAATTACATTGACAGTTAGCACTTAGCATCTAGAATATTACATATATGACCACTTTACTAAGTTTAGAGACCGAAAAACACATCAGTGATCGCGTAAGCTACAGTAATATGGCTCGAGACAGCAAACTATGATCATTTGCACAGGAGTGTTTTCTACAGTTATTCGGGTTGTATATAACTTTAAATATCAATTACACTGAAGCATGGTAAAAAATACCTCTGACCATTATGCTCTTCGCCACGTGTTTCTATCACGATACACGTATATTATGATAATAAATGTTGTTATGTGCCTGGACACTTTATTCTAACCTTCAGACAGATAAATAGTTTTATGCTTCCCGGTAATTTTATCACTTACATATGTGACCCAAAGCATGTGGACATAATAGTATACATGTTTCTGTATGTTCGCTTGCATCATTCATATCTGTAAATGTTGAATCACATTTTGGCTGAATTAAAGAAACAGAGAAGCCTTACATATGCCGCACCTCTTGCAGTTTGTCTGAACGTCTGAAAGAAACTTTTATGTAGCGGCAAATAAATCCCCAAAATCAACAGCTCTTTAAGCCTTCGACCTTTGATGCTAACCGCATTAGTTTTAATGAACTCATCTAGCTAAGTCTCTCGGTCATGAATCCGCACCAGATCGTGAGTGGGTACGCCGTGCTCCACATCCCGTACAACCGCTAGCAAGCTTAGATAATTCACTTCGCCATATAAATGAACATGCATTCCACTCACAATAGAAAATCGGCTTTTCCTGCAACTTTCTGGTTTAACTTCTCAACCGAATCAAATACGTTTTACGTTACAATCTAACTCTTACCAAGACGATCTTTAGAACGATGGATCTATATTTTACCATCGAAAACAGCACTGAAGTACAGTCGTTAGATAGAAAAATAAAATGTTAGTATTATAGTACTACAAAAGTCAAAGAGCAAATTATGCTTGGCAATACACAATAAATGTTAAATCTCTGTAGTCTTTACGTGGAAAGCTGGTATAACTTAGCTACTCTTCAAACTCAACAACAAAAACATAACTATAAGCAGACCAATATTACTCTTTTTGTCTTGGATATAGTGCGAAAAAAGAATTGATTTCGGATATCTCAGATAGAGCCGAAGAGATATATTATGGATTTTGTAGCTTTCTATACACATTTTTTGGTTCATTATAACTCCTCTCGGTTTTCAGTGAAGCGCTGGATGTTTGTACTATTATTGGGGTGTTACAAAAATCAGGTCACTCAAATCAGTGCGATAGTCAACGTCCGAAGAGGTGCTCATTAACCATCGTCATTTTGATGAGACACTTTACTCAATTAACCACAACAGAAAATGTGCAGAAGATTCTAATCGTAATAGTAGATCTACGATTACGATGTCTGGTTATAAGAAGCTTGAACCGCTTACTCAGAGTTGTTTTTAATTCAATTCCACAAAGATTAAGAGTGTCCTTTAAGCACTCCGTCAGTTTTTTGCTTTTCGTTTTCGAAGTTCTCTTCCGGACACTGAATCATCCTTATTACAACTTAGACTGACTCACTATGAGGATGATGTTGCGAACCTCCATCATATGCCGCCCCTAGGTAAAAGTGACCACGCAGTTTTAACTTTCGACTTCCATATAACTTCCAGTCACGAGGACGCGTCATTTCAGTCCAGACCCAACGTCTGGAAAGCGAACATACCAGACATCATGCACTCAACATCGTTAGTAGATTGGACAATAGACCCAGAGTCCTCCATTGAAACGGCCTGGAACGCATTTCGAAATTCATACTTAAAAGTTACCACACCTCACATCCCTTGGACTATACCAAAGGGGCCGAAAAACTCACCACCATTGTTCAGTTGGGAGGTCCGTATACTTCTCCGTAAGAAAAGGAAAATGTGGGATAGATTTAAGTTACTGCGGACTGATGAGTCAAAATCTCATTATCGAAACGCTCGAAATACTTGTGCCTCTACCCTCTGTAAGTCTAGAAAATTGTACGAAGGAAAACTTGTTAAGGAAACCATAGAATGTCCTAAACGCTTGCATTCTTATATAAACCAAAGGACAAGGAGAAAAGGAAATATTCCTGCTCTATGGGGAGACAGTACTGCTTCATCATTAGTGGAGGACGACTTTGGTAAGGCTCAAGTGTTCTCGAACTACTTTAGCAACGTATATATCAAGAAGCGCCCTTCCCTTCAGCGTATACAGATCCCCCATACATACACTGGATAGCGTTACCATTAAAGAACTCGATGTCTTTGGTCTGCTAAATAAGCTTGACATAGGTAAATCCATGGGGCCCGATGAATTACATCCTAGGCTACTGAAGGAATTATCTAACTTCGTTGCAAGCCCTTTAAGTACATGCTTTAACCTATCCGTAACGCAGGGTCGTTTACCGAAAGACTGGAAAAACGCCATAGTAAGTCCTGTCTTCAAAACAGGTACGAAACACAAACCTGAGAACTACCGCCCCGTTAGCCTAACTAGTGTGGTTGTTAAAATCTTAGAAAAGATTATTCGGGAGGAGCTTTTTACGTACCTCAATGAAAACCGGATCTTCTAGGAGAGGCAGAACGGTTTCAGAATAGGTTATTCTTGTCTCACTAACTTATTAGCCGCTCGTGAAGGCTGGTGCGCTCTTAAGGACCAAAAGCTACCTGTAGACGTCGCCTTCATTGATTTCATTAAAGCTTTTGACAACGTTCCGCACAACCGGCTGTAATATAAGTTAAGAAATGTCGGGATTGGGGGCAATTTATTGATGTGGATAAAAGACTTCTTAGTTGGGCGTCAACAAAGAGTTCGGGTGAACTCAAAGTTATCTAGCTGGGAAACTAAGCTTAGTAGAGTGCCCCAGGGTACAGTTTTGGGGCCAGTGCTATTCCTCTTGTATGTAAACCATTTGAACCATTTAAATGACCTTCCTTGTCTCCCATCATCATCGGTCTTGCTATATACTGACGATGTCAAGATATGGAGAACGATACGATGTAAGAGTGATAGCTTAGAAATTCAAAAGGACCTGAAGAAGTTAACTGAATGATCTCAAACATGGCAGTTGCCGATAAATACTTCCAAGTGTGTTGTGATGCATATCGGTCATCAAGGTACAGATACATACACGATGAATAACACTGAGCTGCCTGTCGTCCAGACATATAATGACTTAGGAGTTATCGTTAGTCAAGACTTAAAGACTACTGCACACTGCCGTGCAATAGCCGCCAAAAGTTTTAGAACGTTATGGTCAATACGTAGGGCTTTTAGTCATGTCGACACTAAGACGTTTTTGACTTTGTATACAGTGTTCGTTCGTCCTAAACTTGAGTACTGCATACAAGCGGCTATCCCATGCTTAAAAAAAGACAGTGAGCTTCTGGAAAAGGTTCAGAGAACGGCAACCAAGCTGATTCCCGGAATAGCGAAGCTTCCGTATGAAGCTCGACTGGCCAACCTGGACCTTTTCCCGTTGTCATATCGCAGAACTAGAGGCGACTTGATTACAGTTTTCAAATTGCTTAGTGCCAAATTTGCACCTAATATGCTCACATTTTTCTTGTCTTCCAAAACAGAGAATTTACTAGGACACTCCAAAAAAGTTCATAAGCCCAGAACAAATTACTTGTCAGCTGACTATCGACTTTCCCATCGAATCATCGAGTGGAATTCACTACCTCAGCACGTGGTTGAGGCTCCATCCGTCGACTCTTTCAAAGGAAAGTTGGATCAACTGAGAGACCACCATTGTCAGGACTAACATAGGCCATCGAGCCTCCTGTCCTTCCCAAACTGAAACTGAACCTGAAACTGAAATAATCAAATACATTGTACAAAACAATCTTCACTTCATCAGCTAAAAAATTCATTCACCTATTTAAATCAAGCCCTTGCTTCTCATGTGGTATACTAGCTAGAATCACTGCTG